GAGAGAGGGAGATAGAGGGGGAGAGAGATAGAGTGGAGAGAGACAGGGAGAGAAGAGAGAGAGAGGGAGAGAGAGGGAGAGAGAGAGAGAAGAGAGAGAGAGGGAGATAGAGGGGGAGAGAGATAGAGGGGAGAGAGACAGGGAGAGAAGAGAGAGAGAGGGAGATAGAGGGAGAGAGAGAGAGAAGAGAGAGAGAGGGAGATAGAGGGGGAGAGAGAGAGGGAGAGAGAGAGAGAGAGAGAGGAGAGAAGAAAGAAGAGTGACAGGAAAGTGAGAACGAAAGAGAAGAGAGTGAGAAAGGAGAGACCAAGGGAGAGGAAAGAGCAAGAAAGAGAAAGCCAGAGAGAGCGCCAGGGGGAAAAGTGAGGGAGAGGAGAGAGAAAGAGAGGGAGGAGAGAAAAGAGAAGAGGAGAGGGGGGAGACAAAAGAGAAGAGGAGAGGGGGGGGTGAGAGAAGAAAGGCAGTTAGAAGGAATAGAAGGAGGAAAAAAGAGAAATTAAAAAAAGATTGAATGAGGGGTGGAGTAGAAAGAGAGAGATAAAAGAAAGAGAGAGAAGAGCATTACAGCCAATAAGGAGAGCAAGAAGGAACGAAAAAGAAAGAAAAGAACAACCTAGTGATAGATAGATAGATAGATAGATAGATAGATAGATAGATAGATAGATAGATAGATAGATAGATAGATAGACCTCAGCCAGGTGTCAGAGATAGATAGATAGATAGATAGATAGATAGATAGATAGATAGATAGATAGATAGATAGATAGATAGATAGATAGATAGATAGATAGATAGATAGACCTCAGCCAGGTGTCAGAAATGGTTAATAACATGTGATAATGGAGCCTTGCTCAGGCAGGGAAGTAGTTGGGGAAGAAGTATGAGGTTGGGCCCAGCTCCGTGTCACACTGTTTATTGTCCCCTCATGCGGGAAGATGGATTGCGGTCTACACTGGGGCACGGATAATAGGGTTAACCTCCCCTATCATGGCTGGTATCTCCTCGCAGGCCCCGCGGCCTCATATTAGGCGCTCAGGCTCAATTTCAAATCTGCAGCGTAAAAGAATGCAACAAAAAGCTATATATTTCTATACAGTATTTCCTCCTCCTGCCCGTAACCTGATTTGTGCCAGTCCCATTTCCAGGGAAGGCCGTGCAATGCAATATCTTATCTGCAAATCTACTTCCAGCGCAGAATATATCAGCGGGAGTAATATAATGGGAAATCACAATATATATTTCACCCGCCAATTATTTTACCGGAGCTGAAATTTTCTCTGTCTTTACCATGTCAATTCTGAGTTATGGAATACTAAAACACACATACATCCCCCAAAAATGTATATACTGCACATCTGCTCACACACAACCGGATATACATGTACACAAATAATGGCACAGAATAGGCAGCCATGAATGAGCTGTAGAGTGAGTACACTTTTGTTGAAGAAAAATTCCCTTCGGGGTGATCAATGTACATTTAATGAAATGTAACAATTCTGACCTGTTTCTATTCTAAAGAAATTGCCGTTTGGTTCACCATGTCCTCTCCAAACTGATCCCTGAGTGGAGGGGGTCTGATTCCTGAATGGGATTGTCGGGTTCATTATAAACAGCTGGGGGACTCTCTGTGTTGTAATGAGGAAAGGTGCAGTGTCGGCATCCCTTTAGTAGCAATTAACCCTCCAGAAGGAAGTATCTCAGCAAAAATGAAATTCCTTTTGCAAGAGATGCCTAAGGGCCTGTTCACATGATATCAGGTCCTGATCTGCAGACTGATGCAGTGCGTTTTTGCCACGTTTTTGCCGTAAGCTGAACGGACTGCGCACATGAGAACCTGGAGCTCATAAAAACACATAGGGATACATTGGGATGCATTTTGAGTGCAGCAGCGTACGGAGCCGGTCAGCACACAAAACGGACGTCGTGTGAACAGGCCCTAAAGGTTTGACATGCATCTTAGTGCAGACGTCTGTCAAAATCAGTCAGCCAATCACAGAAGGGGGGAAGTGACATTTCTGGGGATGTTCTGCACACCAATTGTGTACATTAACGCTTCCAGGTCGCCGTATTGCATTGAGTTTCAAAAAGTCACGGCGGCTACAGTTTTTATGACCTCACCACCGCAACAATGCACCCTTGCATCCCATCCCGTCCACACACACAGTTCTCATCAATATGGGAACTATACATTACATGGATTTTAAGAACAGGGGGATGGAAGAAGAGCTTGCTCTGTGCACATCATGAATTAACCAAACACTGCAATATATACATATATATTGCAGTGTTTGGTTAATTCATGATGTGCACAGAGCAAGCTCTTCTTCCATCCCCCTGTTCTTAAAATCCAT